TCTTGGAACACAACGTCCCTACTTCTGATCACCTTTTTCTCCTTTGGATCCCAAAATATGTATCCAAACTCTTCATCTCCATAACCAATGAAAATGCATGGGATTGACCTCGCATCGAGCTTCTTCCTGAGCTCTTTGGATACATGTGCATATGCTACACAACCAAATACTCTGAGATGTGAATATGTCGGATCCTTACCAGTCCATATTCTCTCTGGAACTTCAAAATTTAATGGAACTGAAGGTGATCGGTTGATCAGATAACATGCAGTCTTGACAGCTTCTCCCCAAAATGGCTTTGGTAATTTAGCCATATTCATCATGCTTCGGACACGCTCCATGATAGTCCGATTCATTCTTTCAGCAACACCGTTGTGCTGAGGGGTAGGAGGTACTGACTTCTCATGTCGAATGCCATATGTCCTGCAATATGCATCGAACTCCTTGGAAGTATACTCGCCTCCATTATCAGATCGGAGACGTTTCAGTTTCTTTCCTGTTTTACGTTCCACCATGACGTGAAATCCTTAAAGTACTCAAACACCTGGTCCTTCGTATTCAGGAAATATACCCACACCTTTCGAGAAGCATCATCAATGAAAGTCAGAAAATATCTGTTTCCACCCAGTGATTCAACCTCCATGGGACCGCAAACATCAGAGTGTACCAAGCTTAACAACTCTGATCTCTTTGTTGAACTTGTATTGAATGAGACTCTATGCTGCTTGCCCAACAGGCAATGACTGCAAGAACCCATCGCCGCACTCTTATCAACCTTGATAAGATCCTTCTTCATTAGGGTAGTCAGCCCTTTCTCACTCATATGGCCGAGTCTCTGGTGCCATAGATCCTGGGAAACTTCCTCTGCAACATTGAGACTTTCTGTACTGATCTTCAAATGTGTTGTGTACAGCGTCCCACAAACATGTCCTCGGGCAATTTTCAGAACACCCTTTGACAACTTCCATGTGCCTGCGCCGAAGTGATTTTCATATCCTTCTTTGTCAAGAGCCACCACTGACAAAAGATTCAGCCTAAGATATGGCACATGCCTGACATCCTTCAACAAGATTGTACTCCCGGTTCCTGTCGTTGCCTGGATATCACCAATTCCGACAATTTGAGAGGAGCTGGAATTTCCCATCTTCACCGATCCAAAGTCTCCAGCTTGGTATGTTGTGAAGTATTTCCTGTTGGGAGTAACGTGATAGGATGCTGCAGTATCTACCACTCATTCCATGTCTTCTCTTGAGACATGAAGGCATGTCTCACCATGGTTAGAGCAAATATGCTACATCACCTGAGACAGTGATAAGAGTTTCACCACTCTTGCCCTTGTTCTTCTGCTGAGAACTATTCTTCGGCTGAGAATTGCTCTTGCCCTGCTCCTCGAGCCATTTATAGCAATTCTTCTTCATATGACCTTCTAGACCACAATGATAACACACATGTGATCTCCGATCATCTGATTGCCTCCCCTTGCTTCTACCCCTGCTCTTCCCTCTACCGCTTCTTTGTTGCTTGCGTTGTGGTCTTCCTCGATTCTCCATCACAAGGGCATGGGTATGATCTGTGCCCATGTCTTTCCTTCTTACCTCTTCATTGAATAAGGCATCCTTGACAACGGACATGGAAAGTTTGCCGTTTGAGGCTGAGTTGCTGAGAGTAACAACGAGTGTTTCCCAGCTATCAGGAAGGGAACTAAGAAGTAGTAGAGATTGCATTTCATCTCCAAGCGGCATCTCCACACAAGATAGCTGATTTACCAGGCTCTGGAACTCACTGGTATGCTCGGCAACAGAAGTTCCACTTTTCAACTTCAAATTGACTAAGCGCCTCATCAATAAGGCCTTATTCCGAGCGGTCTTGGCTTGGTACATGTCCTCCAGCTTCCTCCAAAGGACATATGCGTCGGTTTCTTGTGCAACATGATGGAAGACACTATGATCAATCCATTGTCGGATTTGACCAATAGTTTTTCTATTGATTTTCTTCCATTATAACGCCTTGGACGGATCAGGGTTAATACCCTTCAGCTCTATTGGATCAAAGAGCTCTTTACAGCTGAGGAAATCTTCCATCCGAGGTTTCCACAGCGTATAGTTGGTAGCCGTGAGCATAATCATAGCTCCAGAAGATGAAGTTGACTCTTCCATGGCCATTTTATACCTTCAATGATCTGTTTGGGACAAATCGGAGCTGAATTTCGAAAAATAGACAGCACCGTTGCGTCCGGAACAGTCAAAAATGGGGGGGGGGAGGTTTTTTTTTT